TATTTCAAGAAAATATCGGCTCCGGTCTAGAAAACCGAAATTATCGGCCGTGGGAATTCGTTGCGCTGACCACGCGACACCCTTTATCCGCAAAAGTTGGCACTAAACTTCGCCGACAAGTGGCGGTCGCTCGCTCGGTATAGTTCGCTTGAGAACTAAAATTTAAAAACCTCGTAGTCTGCCACAATGTATGCTATTTGTTACAAAATTATCGTTTTCGAATTAAAAATTTCTCTTACTTTTAACTGAAACAACAAGTTGGTCTATGATAGCACTCAGGCTCCTGTGTATTACTACTGGAAAATCCTGATGAAATTCACCGGGGAATAGTTTCTAGCTATGTATTTCACGCCCTTCCTTTCTCTATTTCTTTGTAACTTTATCTCGTTCCTTCTTTTATCAGTTAAAGCAATGAATAAAGCTGCATCTTTATCCATCTCATGACTCGATTTCGAAAATAGAGTTTCAACTACTGTAAGTACATGAGAACGAGAGAACATATGCACATAAGCAGTACATCACGCAGTCACAGTCGTAAACCGTCTTCTGTGAGTATTGTACGTGTAGCTATATATAGTTCCAGTATTTCATTTCCACTTTAGTCGTCTCTCAGAGACAAAGTGATGTCATTTATTTTGACCTAAGTAATGCATTCAGCATTATCCCACATTCTCTTCTTCTTCATAAGCTTAGTGCTTTTGGACTTTCTGGTGACTACATAAAATGGTTTCGCAGTAATCTATTCAACCGGAAGTCTCAGGTCAATATTTCTGGTATTTTTTCCTCGCCTTTTATAGTTCTCTCCCGTGTCCCTGAAGGATCTGTCTTAGAACCCATGTTCTTCAGTGTGTTTGTTGTTGGCTTGTGTGATGCAGTTGCCCGCTCTAAGTATCTACGTTTTGCTGGCGATATCGATATGTATCGAACCATTGAATCTCCTGAAGACTGTAATCTACTACCCTCTGACATTAATTCTATACAACGTTGGTGCATTGCACAACATCAGTAAAACTAAATTTATATCCTTCTGAAGGAAACCCAACAAACTGATCTATGGTTATAAATTTTGTCAGTCCCTCATTAACCTCCGTAATTTTATTAAAGACCTGGAAAACTTTACGAATACTAAACAAAATTTTCATTAACACGTCAACCACATTCTATCTCAGTGTATTGAGCTCTTGGGTCTAGTTCGTAACATTTACCTCCACCTTCTCATCTCTTGAATGTATGCACAGATTATACATTACGTTAGTTAGATCCCAGCATGAATACACGTCTATTGTCTGGAATTCAGTTATGTCGACTGATGCCAATAAGCTGGTACGTATCCAACAGAGGTTTGCGACCCTCACTTTTAACCGTTTCTTTCTTCTAGTCCATTGCTGCTATTCTCTTGCTTTGGAGGAGTTACAATTGAACACTTTACGTATGAGGAGACATCGCCTCGATGCTCTCTTTCGTATTCAGATTTACCTTGATTCTAAATTCTGTCCTTCTCTTTTGGAAATTGTTACTGTTCTTGTTCCTGCTCGGTATATAAGAGACTTTGCTTTATTCAGTGTCCGTTTCTCATGTTAAAATCGTCCCTCTGCTAGATATGCATCCCCTGCTGATTGTGTTTGCAGGGACATTGACCTATTCGGGGACAATAACGTTCCCCTTAATTATAGTTTATAATATATTATAATAATTTTATTATATATATGCATGAATAGTATGCCGACCGCATCTGTGGTCTAGTGGTCAGAGTTCCTGGCCACAGATCCAGAGGTCCCAGGTTCGTTTCCCGGCTCTACCAGATTTTCTGAGAAGTAGTGGGTCTGGAACGCGGCCCACTCAGCCTCGTGATGAAAATTGAAGAGCTATTTCAAAGAAATAGCGGCTCCGGTCTAGAAAACNTAATTGTGGAGCTATTTCAAAGAAATAGCGGCTTTGGTCTACAAAACCGAAATTAACGGCGGTGGGAATTCGTTGCGCTGACCACGCGACACCCTCTATCCGCTAAAGTTGGCACTAACTTCGCCGACATGCGGCGGTCGCTCGGTCGGTATATTTCGCTTGCCCCCTCAGTTTAAAGAATATATTGACACATATTTTCCCGGAATTCTATTTCAGTATGTCTCTCAAGCTGCTCCTTCTACATGCATCTCATTCAAGTTCATTGCTCTATATGTTTTATTTGTGTTTATTATTCCGGATAGTAGAAGTTATTTCTCCACATTAACCTCTACGTGCATACTTTACACATTATATTCTCTTAATATACCTCATTATGCACATTTTGTTTCATTACTGAACATTCTCCTATGGGTCTTCATTACACTTTCTCAGACCGTATAGCCAACCAGAGTTCGCTTCTCGGTAGGGACAAGAGATTGTTCTATTCTCCACAGCGTGCAGATCGGTTCTGGGTACGGGGGAGAATTTCACTAGGTGTAAAACGGTAGGGGAGTGAAGCTGACAATTCACCTCCATTCTATGCCGAGGTCAAGAAGAGTGTAGCTGTACCTCCATTCCCTATACATCTTCATTTTTTTTCTCTATGGCTCTACAGTCCTTTGGACCTTAGCCACTTTTTCAGTTTCTTAATCTGTACACAGTCGGTACGACTCCTTGGACCGAGGATCAACACTTTGCAAGGCCGCTATCTACACA